TATGCTGTCGACGAGCTAGTGGCGATCGGAAATGCAAAGTTCGTCGTGATTGAACCGAACAGCTTCTCACCGACTCACTGTGGGGAAGGACACTGCTGGTATTTTGGGGTCGAAAAGTGCGAAACAAAAGCCCAATCCTGGACCAAGGGTAGAGAACAAGAAAAATAAACCAAAGCATATCTATACCCACGTCAACCGGCACCTGAGACGCATTGGGTTACACAAAACCTCGTCCTCCTTCGGCGCAGCATTAGAACTTCTCGTTCGACAATCGCCGCCAGCGACAATCGCAATTATTGATATAACCGGTTTGGGCAAGGCGAAAATTTCAGAACGGAAGTTCAGGTGATCGAAGCTTCCAAGATGCCCCAGCAGACCATGACGATACCAATGCGGACATCGAGTGTAAACGCGTTGTCGAACGGGATGCATATGTCAAATGCTAGCCATGAAGATTTGAGACGCGAATCAGCGTCGAAAGCCCAGAAGATATTGGGTACGACTGAAATTCCGATTCCTCAAGATCAATCCCGGCGAGAAGACCGAAAATCGCGAGGGGCTAGCTTCATCAGAGCCCCGGATATCAAGTCGAAGAAAAGCGGCGGTTTTGCTGCGTTCCCTACGCCTACACCTGAAGCAACTTTACCACCACCACATCTCCGTGTTCGAGCATCATCCCCACTGCTCGGGCAGGAATATCGATCACAAGATGCCATGCCACCGTCTATCCCCACGCACTCTAAAAGGGTTCAGCAATCTGGCTCCTCATCTACACTGTTTTCCTATTTCAATTCCCGCAACTCTACTCTGGACTCTAATCTAAGTCGCAATACGACAAAAGATTCCATAGCGACTGAAGAGAAGGGCTTTCGAGCGCAGCGCAATGTCGAGCCACGCTTTGGTTTGAAACAACCGAAGGGTCCTATGAAGGACTCGAAACGGAAAATGCGCCCACCCAGAATAGATCTCTCTCTCCTATTCCCAAAGCCACGAGTGGATGCTGCTCCCATGCTGTCGCCGCAACGATTGGTGAATTCGCCGTCTGCAATATCAATGACCTCCGAGCATCCCGCAGTCAAACCACAGAATTTTGACAACCCTGAACCTACAAAGAGAGTCACCAAAACTCCGGCTTCGGGTCACAAAATGAAGGGTCATCAAGCCACTGACGTCGCCAGCGAGTCTTCACCGATTTATGAGTCAGGCACCACAAACTGGCTTGATCCATCCCTTGAAAGAACAGTACGCACCAGTGAGATGGAGATGGCTTTGAAACGATACAGCCAATTCCAGAAAGCTCCTCAGCCTAGTGAACCGACCCGATCCAGTCAGTTGCATTTACGACCACGGGACCGTGAACAACCACAAGCAAGTGATACAAAGTCTACAGGGAGCTCTTTGCGAAAGGTTCCATCTAATAGCTCCGCCGGGGGATGGAGCAGGGAACTATACTTGTCTCCCAAGTCTTTCTCCCGCCCACACAACAATCGTACTTCTGACTCGTCGAACGCACGGCACGCTGACTCACGCGAAAACCTCTCTGCCTACAAAGGTTCAATGTCGAAAAAGAGCAGTAAAAGTACTCTGAAAAATGTGGATCTTAATAAATCGAGCGTGCTTTGTCTTTCATCATCAGAAGACGAAGAGGATGAGGAGGAAGCGCCAGCCAAACATGACAAAAACATAAGAGACAGCGTAACGACCTACGCTGATTTCGAGGCTGAGATATGTACAGCTTCTGCAGCACAAACCACGAAAGGAACACTGAGACGAGTTGAGAGACCTTACTCAATGTCTGCTAGTAGCCGTGGGTCTCAGTCTGCCCGTCAACAACAGCAAACCATATTACGAAACCCATCAATGTCGTCTGCGGGAAGGTCAACCCTTGAAACGAGGAGTCACCGTTCGAGCGGTGTACCCACGATATCAGAACCAGACTTCCTCAATACCGATCCTATGGCTAGCCAAGCACGGAAACCTTCTCAGAGGGCACGTCTCCAGCAGAGCCAGCCGAACCGCAGAAGCCGAGTTATAGCCGTGACAAGGCAAGAAGAGCACTTACTCGAAGCAATGAGACAGCGGAAAGGCAAAATAACCCCTAGTCTTTTCCATGAAGCCCGTTACCAAGATAGCCACGAGCCCGATAGAAATTCTATGCTCTCGGTGCCTTCACGGGACTCATTCTACGGGTCCGACATGTCCTTCCTTCGACTCAGCCCTGGACTACCTCCTATTATGACACGGAAAGACCAAGGTGCAAACCATTTTGATAAGGACGGCTCCATTTCCCAGGGCGCGGCTTCTGATGCAGAACAGAAAACCATAAACTCGAACGCGTCCCCTCGAGTTAGCTTGATCTATTCGGAAAGTCTTCCCTCGCCAGCAACCAGTGGAGCTTCCCCATTGACACCAACCCTTCCTATACATCGCTTTTCTCCCCTCCCATCACAAAAGCCGCCTCCGCGCAACCCGCCTCCGGCTATACCACCAGTTCAACGGCGACATTCAAGGCGACGTACCGATAGTAGCGAGGCCATCGTTTTAGGCGACGCCGAGGAACGAAAGGAAACTGACGATTTCCCAATTTGGGCCTTGGGGTGGGGAGGTAATGATAATGCCAACCTTACAGCAGTACACTGAAAGTCCGACTGTACCCAGTCACATTCCATAACACCCCGGTCCTTATTACTGTCATGAACGAATCACTCATCCGCCATTATACCCCTAGGTCTCGTCATTGGTTGACGCACCTGCAACACATTTCACACTTTTCCTAATTCTTATTATATACACTCTTTATTTCTATCACTATCTCACTCTCTGATCTTTTCCCATCTTGATTGATTACCTACCATTCGCTGTTCCATGCATTTCCTTGTCGTTCATACATACCACACGATGACTGGCTAGACAAAGCCATTTTCTTATACATTGTACTTACTCACAGGTTCTTAATGCCCAGGGAGAAGGAATAAGCATAGACTGATCTAGCTTTCTATGCATATATAATATTTGCCCATGAATTCAAATATGATTCAGGATTCTATCTTTATTCTGTAACTTTTATATCCGGGTCCATAGGCCTAAGCGTAGTAGATACACAGTCTGTATAGTATACTCGGCGCGGGATCAGCTATCTCCGAGATTTGGCTAGGATACATTCCAGTGGTCCGTATCCCTTACTTGTCCTTCTCTTGTCCTTCAGATCGGGCACCTTAGTCGAGAAGCACAGAAGCCATGACCCACTCGGGCAATGGGAAACATACTTTGATTATGAATTCAGGCTCAGCCACTCTATGCGTCCAAGCTCAGCTTCGCTGCCCACCTAAGCTAGTCACAAGTCAAAAGCTCTCACTCGATAGGGTTCTACTTGCAACAGCTCTTGCATGTCTGACGATCTCGGAATGCAATAGAGTTAATCTGTGAAGTTTACATTTCAAACGAAATTCAACTAGAAGGGCCCCTCGTATATGCAAGGGAACAAAGTGCATGTGGTTTCATGGAACAGAGAGCAAAAAGAATAAAAGGTGGAAGGACGATGCACAAAAGGTCGCGTGAGCTCTATGAATGATAGATGACGGGCTGATATACTTAGATCCACCAAGAGTCACTATTTCATTGGCACGTTAGAGATAGTGTTGAGCAGAGGACTTCTGGTTCCGAGTCCCGTGGGTATGGCCTGTGAACTAAACCTAGATCCAGTTTGTAGATGATACTTAGCTCCCGAAACAACCTAAGAAATAACAGGCGTTCGATCGAGGCCTTAGCTATCCTAGGGTCCATCCATTTTAGGGGGAAACTAAAAAAAATAAAGTAAGAGTCATAGGTACTTTGTTGGAAAGCTTATACCCGGCGCAATTTCTCGAGGACAAGTGTCTGCTGGCGCTTTGTACATGTATCGGCATACATTGTTGTGCTGAATCTCGATCTTGTGTACAAAATTACCGTCAAGGGTCCATCGCGATCTCTCGGCTCGATACGACGAGGGTGGCTTGAGTAGTCCGTACTTAGTACTAGTTACAGGAATTAGCAGTCGAGGCGTGTCGACCCAAAGGGGCACTACATTCTACCCAATTGAAGGATGATTCTAGGCAGCTGACGTCAGAGTGCTTTCGAATGGGTCCAAAAAAGCAGAGGCGATGCAAATCCAAGGACTTAATTCCACTTCTTCTTGACACCAACCATGGAATGAAAATCAAATGGCTGAAAAGAAGGAAAACTAAACCAACCACTAGAGTTGAAGGACTCCACACCGCTAAAACTAGTTAAGCGCTGCATCACGTTCGACATGAAGGAATACGAATGCCATAACCTGACCCCAGATCTTCCTTTTTATTAGTAACGGCTTGTAAGCCTCTCAGCTCAGATCCCCTTTCATCCTAGGTCCTCGCTTTGTTTTCGTTCCTCTTTGTCTCCTGCCAACCACCCCCTTATCTCACCGTGAGTTATTCACGCCGGAGTTGAGCTCCACCTGTGTCCTATTTTGTGCGTACGCGCAAAGGACTTCTCTAACTCGGTTGTGCGACGATTCCCGTCTAACGACTCAAAGCGCACAAGTCGCATGTAACACCCTCGGCAACCGTCAGACGAACTGCCCCTGTCGACTTGCGGATAGAACTCTCGAGAAAAGGGGTCGATATTAATTGATTGCCTGCCCCGTTCTGTCATTGACACGGAGGAACGGACCGAATCTCGCCTGAGGAAATACCGACTTTGCTAAATTATCAACATGGGAGAAAGCGCACAACGCCCGTCTTCAGGGCCGGGGCAAGTTGGGAAGAACTTTTCATGGATTCTGGTAATGCTCTTGGCGTCCCAGCATCAGCAGCATGGCTGCGCGATCATGTCCATCTCTGGCTGACTGTATGTTCTCTTTGGCTACAGTTAACTGCACAGTACACTATGTTTGTGCTGGTATGTTGCCCAACTTCTGAAGTACCCTCGAAAAATAGACCGTTAATCTATCGCTTTCTACACAGTTATTACACTACTCCCGGGTAATGCCGCCAGCTAATGGCAAGCGATATCTCACGTCTACCGCGGTCTTCTTCAACGAGGTTGTCAAACTTGCCATCTCTCTTACTATAGCCTTATACGAAGTTTCCAAAACGGCGCCCCCAACCGTTCCTGCAACATCCCTTTTCTTCTCCCTCACGTCTGCTGTTTTCTCTGGCGACAGTTGGAAGCTCGCAATCCCCGCTAGCCTTTATACACTTGCCAATTCGTTACAATATGTCGCTCTCTCGAATTTGCAGGCGGCACCCTTCCAAGTAACGTACCAGTTGAAACTCATCGCGACCGCTATTTTCGGCGTTATTTTATTGAACAGGGGCATCTCACTGCGCAGGTGGGGTCTGCTGTTGCTCCTGCTGGTGGGCGTTGGGCTTGTGCAGATACCCATTAGCAGTACCGGGGATGTTTCTCTCCAAGATGAGGCGGCCGCGCACCATGCCTTTCCGCGGTCGCTGGAAGAATGGAAGGCCGCCAAGCTGGATCGGCCAAATCTCCATAAGCGTTCGGCAACATATGAGGGTATTGAAGAGGATATGATGAACGCCTTTCCGCGAATGAACGCAGTTGTTGGTCTCCTAGCGACTCTTGGCGCGTGCGTCGCATCTAGCCTTGCCGGTGTATATTTCGAAAAGGTACTGAAGGATAGTGCGAAGTCGACCTCGCTTTGGGTCCGCAATGTCCAGCTGGCCGTGTATTCTATCTTCCCCGCTTTGTTCATCGGTGTTGTCTTCTTGGACGGCGAAAAGATTGCTGCCAACGGCTTCTTTGGAGGGTATAATTGGGCCGTGTGGTCTACCGTGGTTGCTCAAGCAATTGGAGGGATTGCAACATCTTTCTGTATTGGCCATGCATACCGAGATGCAAGAAATGTTGCTACTGCTACCAGCATCTTTCTTACTACGTTAGGAAGCGTCTGGCTCTTTGAGTTTGAGCTAACTGGTAATGTACGTGCTTGTGTAGCTTTTTCTTGGAAGATCCTCCGGGGAATCTAACATGGGCTGACCGGCCCCCTACAGTTTATTCTCGGAACGTTTGCAGTGCTTGTGGCGACCTATCTTTGCGAAGATCCGAGTTCGGCTTCCAGCACCAGCAAGCGCCAGGGACCTCGACCGCCACCGATTCGCATCGATCAGTATGATAAAGAATCCAAAAGCGATGATGTTTCGCCCGTGTCCCCTCCGCCAAACGAGTTTTCCATTAAACTCCCCGGTACGCCGTTCCTTTCTGATGCCGGCTTGTCGACATCTAGGCCTACGTCACCAGGGCATGTTAGGGTTAATGCAGCCCGGACCGCCAGCGGTGGTTATTTCGATAAGCAGCTACGAGACCAGTGATTTTGACGATACGGATACGAGCTCAGATTTGCATGCAGTGTGTATATTACGCTTTGCGTTTGGACCAAGTCCTAAGGGAAGTAAATAAGCATGGATAGAAGCGAAGCTTTTCTTGTTTCATCTTGAATATCAACATCTCTCTCGTGCATGTGACTTTTTGTTTCTGTTCTGTCCCCCCCGCCCTTTATCTCTTTATTTCTTTCCCTCTCATCTTCACCCTTTTCTAAAAAAGAGACTATTGAACGTCATGTTTTATATTTTAGTATATATCCGATCACCCTGACCAAGCGCTCAGCTGTTTAGCAATGTATAAGTGTTTATCGTCCTGAGGCTCTGGAGACACCTGTGACAGAGACTACTTGTGCCAATCAAACTATCATACTGCTCATTTTCTGGGTAGCTTCCATGTGCTTCCATGTCAGTCGTTCTCTATTAGGAGCAGGTGACCTATTCTCCCGTCTGTAATTAAGTAACCTTTCAATCTCTTTCCATCAGCTTATCTACTACTCATCCCTGCTTACCAGCAGTCGTCTTATCATCATGCGAAGAAAAACTTACTCGTCCTTTCCCGCACCACGCCAGGGTATTTCTTATAGACGAACTGCCGGCACCCAGCTCCGTACACCCATCCGTTCCAATGTGCGCACTGCTCTTGATCAGAGATGCAGCGAAGGGGCTCGAAACTCGTCATATCTAAGCGGATCTCGCAGAGAAGAGCTTTCTGCCAGTACACCCGGACCAGAAGCGCTAGGCCGGGATGACGACTTGCTGTTTGATGCATTCGGTAAGTAAACTTAACAGATATCATATTGACTATACATCTAGGATAAAGGCTAAATGCGGTGGATTAAGATTTGGAATTGCTTGCACAATCGGATGACACGGCAAGGACTCGACAGTCTATCTTCTCAACTGCAGACAGTCATTTGCACACAGGCGAGGTACCCCAGAATGGCGCACCAGCTCTGGTCTCTCGATATTTTTGTGGTAGGTCTTCCGTCTCTGCGAACTATGTTTAATGTCAATATCTCTATCTTTTTGCACTGACAAACATGGTTCAGACACCTCTCATACCACACCGCATCAAAGTGTAGCATCTAGTTCCTCAGACATTGAAACCAGGTCTCCTTCTAGTCCCCTGCTCAGGCTACAGGTTGGGAGAACCCGGCCATACGTGGCACAAGATAGTGGCTCCAAAAGGCACAGCCAAGATTATCAGTTTCGATCTGAACAATGTGAAAGATCACACGTTGCTGCGACTCTAGAACAAAGGACGCCATTTCAGGACATACCGGTATCAATTCGAGGAATCGTTCTTGTGTCTGTGCATGAGCTCCCTGATAAGTATCGGTCACTGTTCCATTTTCCTGCATTCAACGCGATTCAATCCAAATGCTTCCAGCCTGTTTACAAAAGAGATGACAACATTGTACTTGCTGCTCCTACTGGGAGTGGTAAAACAGTTGTTATGGAGTTGGCAATATGTCGTTTACTTAACAATCTGAAGGATGAGAGGTTCAAGGTCATTTATCAAGCACCCACCAAGTCACTCTGCTCAGAGAGGTTCCGTGACTGGAACAGGAAGTTCCACTCATTAGGCCTTCAATGTGCTGAGCTGACCGGTGATACTGATTATACACAGATGAGGAGCGTTCAGAATAGCCAGATAATTATAACGACGCCTGAAAAATGGGATAGCGTGACACGGAAATGGAAGGACCACGCACGTTTGATGCAGCTAGTCAAGCTCTTCTTAATTGATGAAGTTCATATTCTCAAGGAGTGCCGCGGAGCAACATTAGAAGCTGTTGTGTCACGCATGAAAACGATCGGGTCGAATGTACGATTTGTTGCATTAAGCGCTACCATTCCAAATTCCGAGGATATTGCAACGTGGCTCGGTAAGGATTCGGCAAACCAACATGTTCCGGCACACAGGGAGCATTTTGGAGAAGAGTTTCGCCCTGTTAGGCTACAGAGATTTGTATACGGTTATCAGTCCCAGGGAAATGACTTCGCATTCGACAAGATGTGCAGCTCGAAGTAAGTAGACACACCCAATTTCCGATTTGGTCTGACTCCGAATGCTAGACTTCCTGATGTGCTTGCAACGCATTCTTGCAGGAAGCCCACCATGATCTTCTGCTGCACGAGGAATTCATCTGTGGCTACGGCAAAGGAACTTGCTCGGCTGTGGTCAATGTCCAACCCTCCAGCTCGGCTATGGAAAGGACCAAGCACATCATTCGAATTCAATAATGTAGACTTGAAGAGTACGAAATGAATTCAATGAGTGCTAAAAATATGCGGTTGCTGATACGGTTTATTCAAGTTACAAGTGCTGCAGGTGTCGCATTTCATCACGCTGGTCTGAATCCCGGAGACAGACAGACAATCGAAAATGGTTTCTTACAAGGCCAAATTAACATAATATGTTGCACATCCACGCTTGCAGTTGGTGTGAACCTCCCGTGTCACCTTGTGATCATCAAAAACACCGTCGGATGGCTAGACGGTGGCTGCAAAGAATATTCGGATCTCGAAATTATGCAGATGCTTGGTCGTGCTGGAAGACCTCAGTTTGACAAAGATGCAATCGCCGTTATCTTAACCAGAAAAGAACGCGTCGACTATTATGAACGACTCGTCTCAGGCTCTGAAAGCCTTGAAAGCTGCTTACATTTGAACTTGATTGATCATCTGAACGCTGAAATTGGGTTAGGCAATGTCACAAGTGTTGAATCTGGTATAAGATGGCTTGCTGGCACCTTTTTATTCGTGAGGCTCAGACGGAACCCAACATATTATCAGCTAAGGGAAGGTGCCAATAGGGAAGATGAGGACGAGATGCTTCGCCAAATTTGTGAGAAAGACATCAAGCTTCTCCAAGAGAGTAACTTAGTCTCCACTGAACATCTTAGATCCACACAATTTGGTGATGCAATGGCGCGCTATTACGTGCGATTCGAGACGATGAACACCTTCCTCACATTAGAGCGCCACGCCACTATGTCTCAAATCGTAAGCGGCATACATTGAGCCCATGATACAAGCTAACAAAAGATGTCCCAGCTCTCCGTGATTTCCCAAGCAGAGGAGTTTCGTGACGTCCGTCTCAAGGCTGGTGAGAAGTCGCTGTACAAAGAGATCAACCGCGGAACTGGCATAATATTTCCGATAAAAGTGGATATAGCACTTCCTGCCCATAAAGCATCACTACTCATCCAGTCTGAGCTGGGTGCGGTGGAGTTTCCAGATGACGAACAGTTCCAAAAGCACAAGTTTGCGTTCCAGCAAGACAAAGGTTTTGTATTTTCACACGTTAATCGGCTTATTCGATGCATCATAGACTGTCAAATTGCTCTCGAGGATTCAGTCGCTGTTAGAAACGCCTTGGAGCTTGCAAGAAGTTTCGGAGCTAAAGTGTGGGATAGATCTCCATTTCAGATGAAGCAAATTGAACAAATTGGTGTCGTCGCGGTTAGAAAATTAGCAGCCGCTGGAATAACAAGCATTGAAGCTCTAGAGTCCGCAGAGCCTCATCAGATTGACATGATCTTGAGCAAAAATCCTCCCTTTGGGTTGAAACTTCTAGGGCGTCTTTCGGAGTTTCCGAAGTTACGCGTGTCTGTCAAGATGATAAACAAGGTATGGATCTTATATCGCCGTCAAGGGCTTGGCTAACACACCAGTAGGAGGCGAAACACGGTAATCCAGTGAGAGTTCATTTTAAAGCCGAGGTCGCATTCATGAATGAAAAATGCCCAACCACTTTCCAGAGGCGTCCTGTACATGTCTGTTTCTTAGCGGAGACCTCTAACGGTTTGATGATCGATTTCCGGCGTATGAGGTTGGTTAACAGAGTTCCCGTCTTCCATATTTTTCAAGGCTAATATCAAACCAGTGCCAGTAAGGTCCACAGTATCCAGGAGATACCGTTGCACATAGAAATGGGAAGCCCAGATCAGCACATTACGTGCTATGCTATGTGTGATGACATTGGCATGCGTTTGGTTCCCAACAGGATTAACTAGTCTGTGTTGCTGACTTCTTACAGCCGGGACTTTGAGATCAGCAGAATTGCGACCTGCCCTCCCAGCTTCGCTATTTCCCTTTTGTTCAAGTAAGGACTCGGACGAGACGAGCCAGAAGCACACGATGAACATGTCACGCCCACGTAGCAACACTTCTTTGCGCATCAAACCCAATAAAGAATGCAATCCAGATAGTTTCGGCAGTGATGACTCGCTTTTCGATGACTTTCTGGAAGCTGGTGCGATCCCTCATCCTTTTCCCTTCGTGTAGTGACTTAGTAAGAATTATTATGAGCAGGCAAAGCCACAGATTGGACAACCATGGACCATATATCATCTCCGGCGAGTGGGAATAAAACACAGGAACCCCCCAGCAAGAAGAGCAAAAGATCCAAGGAGGCAAAGGGTGCACACAAAGCGGAAGAGCCAACTCAGCTTGGAAATGGTAGATGGAGCTGCAACCATAGGTGCAAAGACAAAACAATGTATCTTTTCTTCCCCCCACCTCTCCTTCTGGATACGAGACTTAACTGGTTCGTAGGTGCAAGCACCTCTGTTGTCGGGAAGGGCTTGAGAAACCCCCAAAGTTGAACAGAAAGCACTCTACTGGAGGGATAGACCGCTCAAACGGACTCAGTCAAATGACGTTATCTGCAAGTATCACCAAGAACAGCACAAAGATGAATAATCCCGGTAAACCACGGGTTCGAAAGGACAGTGGGCCTGACAATGGGTCACAAGAAATGCTACAAAAGCGCTCTCAGGAATCAGAGATAGGTTTGAGAGATGCTGCTTGTGAAGACCTAATATGTCCTGGCTCTAATACTAAGGACTCGTCGAGCGACTATGGAGATGACAGCTTCAGTGATTTGCCTTCACCGTCTGATTTGCTCCTTGGCCACACTGCTGGAAAGACAGACGGGGATGACCAGACCACCAGCAAAGAGACCTGCTTAGAGAAAAATGTCAAAACAAAAGACGATTGGATTTACGCAGATGAGCGATGGTTTACACAATCATCCTCACTTCCTGACTCGCGTTTGCAAGGTAAAGATGTAACCACTACCGAGGCCGCAGGGACCTTCACGGAATCTGTGGGTGAACCAAGGACATGCAGTTCAAATGGTGATCAAGAGGCCAAGTATGACAACCACACCACTACTGAGATGAGAGAGATTGAACACCTTGGAAAAAAGCGAAGGCGCTCTTTGGCTTCTGGGGACAAAGCTTACGATAAGAGAATCACGAAGAAACATATAGACAACCAAGCCACTGAGGCTTCTGCAAGTCAAAGCCAATACTGCAGTGCTGACACATCAAGTGGCTACAATCAGAATCTCCAGTCCTGTGAGCCTACTCATTCACCTGAAATCTGGGATGACATCGATCCGACTCTGCTAGACGAGTTCAAAGACATTGTTAGCTTCTTCTAGAGTTGAAGCTAGGCTAATGGGTAACCTAATGCAAATCATTACCAAGGGTTGGAGAGACCTACTACTACCCATCAACCTGAGATATGGATACATATCCCTTCCATATATATTATAGTGTATTGTTAAGCTATCCCTTATACTGATACATCCCTAACTACCCATCATTGACCTGTGTTTATGTCTATCTTTTCGAGATTGTGATAGGGAGAACACCTTGGGGAAACCCACTGTATCTCAATTATGTCATAAAAACAGTGCATGTTCAAGCGGTGAATTGAAGATAAACTCCGTTAAGTCCAGTCTGCATGGCAACAAAGATACAATGTCTCAGTATCACGTCTCGTCACAGGACAACCTTGTCCCGCCCTCTTCCGTATTCAGCGCGCACATTTTCTCTGGTATCACCGCGAGACCATACTTCCAAGGCTACATTATCTCTTTTTTAACGCTTTCTATGTAGCTTTCTTGTTCAAACTACTTCTTCCTTGATAGAGGATTATCAGGTATTGTCACCCCCATTGCTGATTGTTGTTGTTATTGTCTTTTTGCTTTGTCCTTGTCTCCTTGTCTGCTATGTTCTGCTTAACGTAGGACAACAGTCACATCCCTACTATACTTGTTTGTGTGAGCCTATGTCTTGTCTAAAGCCTCTGCACGCCATGTTTCTACTTCATATTTGATATGTAGGGAGATTTCCATGTTACTCGAAGCAGTCATGTCTTGTCTGACTGGAAGCCCCGTCCCGTTTGTCAATATGTTCGTCTTTTATATACAACTCTCTGCGGCCTTATATGATTTGTTCTGTCCCCTGATATTACTGGAAGCTAATACCCATCATGAAGAAAGATCTGAGTCGACGACTTACTATGCAATCATGGGGAAGTTGAACTATTCAGCGGTGAGGCCCCCTGCCTTTATACTCCATATTGAGTTCTTGAAGCCAAATACTGAGGCCAGGTGACTATTAGAGAAAAATTGACGGCGAGAAGTTCGCGCGGGTCCTCTCCAGGGACTTGGTAAGTTCCATCGTACAAAATATGAACAAATCTAGTAACACAGGCTGATTCGTATGCAGAGAAAGCGACTGCCAGATGGACCCGGCTTTAAAGCTGCAGCACGGGATCCGACTTTAGAGATCGACATTTCAAACAAGAAGCTGACAGACAAAGACCTCTCTGTGTTCATCGATGACCTCCTTGAATGTATCAGGGAGGATCTTGCGAAAGTAGTTGAGTTCCATCTTCAGGGAAACAACCTCACAGTTAAATCTCTACCCAAGCTGGGCGAGGCAGTTGCGCTAAACGCAGGCGAGATGAGGGAGCTTGACATTTCCAACAATAATATCAGTGTCAGCCCAGACCCTAAAGATAAGGCGATGTGGTGCAGCTTCCTCCATTCCTTCAAGAACTGTTATGTGCTCAAGAAGCTCGATCTTGGGGGTAACCCTCTGGGGCCTGTGGGGTTGGAAAATCTTGCTTGTGTTTACATCAAAAGTGACCTTCACTTCCTCGAGGATGATGCTAACGCCATTGTCGAACATAAGCATGAAGAGAGGCTCTTCATCGAAGATCCGGTTGTGGTAAAGGCCGCAGCTGGGAAGGAGAACGAACGCAGTACGAGGGGTAGTCGCCCTGGAAAGTCGCCAAACAAGGGGAAGAAGGCTTTGCGACAGACTTCTGGTAGGTACAAACCACCCGAACAAACAAGATGGAACAGACAAACGCTGACTGCCTTGTCCAGGCCAGCCCAAATCTAACCCCCTTAAAGGAACGGCACCTGACGATCTCAAACGCTTCGCCTGTACCCGCGGCCTTCGCTCGATTGCCTACCTCATCTTGTCCAACGTTTACATGGCAAAGAGTGGCACGGTACACCTTGCGAGTATGCTGAGTATGCAAAGAACCTCAGAGCAGCTCTTGAAGTTCCTTCCCGGGGGCAAATCCCTAGTCTTACCTGAAACCGCACACAACAAAAGCATTGTCTGGCTTCCCAACGACACTATTCCTCAGATCGCGAGCGAGTTCCTCGAAAAGGCCGAAGTCATTAACGAGATAAAAGTCCACATCGACTCGGATAGTGAACTCTCGAATGACGACTTGGACCAGGGACTTGTCAGTATCATCACGGAGATGAACGCAGAGTCCAATCACAAAATCGACACTGCTGCACAGAGGGAGCTTCAGAACAAAAAGAACACCGCGTACGTCAGACTCACCAAACGTGTCCGTATGGAGGCACTGCATGATGAAGGCGTGCGTGGCACAGATCTTTGGATCACTGCTCTGCGAATGATGAACGTGTCCCGAATCCTCCTTTGGCAAGGCAAGGACAGCATTGCTGGCTCCCCACACAAGGAACAGGACCAGCAAGGAGAAGAAGAAGACGACGACGATGACGACAGAGACGATCCCAGTCCCTCCGCAGTCCATATTGAAGACATCGCTCAGCGATTCGAAAAACTGGAAGCAACCAACTCCCCGGAATCACCTTCTTCTCCCGTTGAGATCCATGTCACTGAACCTGACCGCATGGGCCCTTTCCATCCCGGCACAGACTCATTCAATGCCAACTTTCCCATCCTTCATTCGTCCATCACCACCGCCGAGAGTGTTGAGACTGCATTCACCAGAAGCGATGAAGAAGAACACATTGTTACTGCAAGAAACAAGTTGTCCCCATCACCACAACCCGCCCGCTCTGGAAATGGCAGCACCCGCGCTACATCCGGATCCCGAGTCCCTCGCAAGGAAAAAGAGACCTGGCGCTTCGGCTTTACCCTCGAGATTTGGCGCAGAATCATCGCTGGTGCGGTCGGCGCGGAAGGTATTCTGGACTTGGAACAGCAGGCTCAGATCATGCGTTATGCCACTGATTGGAAGACTCTTAAGGACGAGATGGGTATTACAGGCCTTGAGGATCACCAACAAATCTGGAGGATCTTGGAGAAGAATAATTGCTTCGTTTATAGTCCTTTGTAGGGCTGGGACGGGCAACCATCTGGTAAATACAGTTTCTATGAGAAGCTAAGGTAGGTTACATACTATGAACTCCGCTCAAGATTCAAGAAAGGGGAGGAAGACTTAAACATTAAGAAACAAAAGAAAAAAACAAGAAAAGAAAAGAGAAAAAGAAAAAGAAAAAGGAGAAAACCCTACAGACAGTTAAAAGGAAGTTTCGGCGAGACAGGACGAAAGGGCTAGAAAGGATGTCTTGGTAACATGCTTGGTGGTGATTAATCATATGGATTCGAATAGGTGTCCAACATACATTCATTCAGCATAGGGACTAATCATACTATCTGACGTGTTGCGTGATTCATAAATCCTGGCACATTTACCACATAAGCTATACTAGATCTAGAGGTGTTGAAGCTGTCTGGAAAGTAGTTCACATGATCACAAGCCCTTCATCAAAATGAGAAATAGAAGAAAGGCAGACTACTTCGAAACACGGACAAATTTACTTGAGTTTACCACACTCTCAGACAAATCAGCCAAGCTTCCCCAGGTCATCATATCAGTCATGGTAATATCAGCTCCAAGTTCTTTTACCAACCAGGTTCTGAGCTCCATTGCGACAATTGAATCTACTTCACTGCCCTTAATGGACTTCACTGAGTCGATATCATCTTCTGAATAGTTTATCATGTAGGCCAATTGCTTTTGAATGGCGTCCTGCGTGAGCGCTGCTGCGATCTCTCTGGATTGTGCGGCGCTAAGTAAAGCCGAAAGATTGTAATCCTTGTTATGTTCTGTCTGTTGGTGCTCCTGGGGGTCACTAGTATCTCGAAGATGAGTAAATAAAGGGTACTTCATGTATGCAGGAACCGGTACGCGCCGGTCATGAAATGTTGCTTCTGGAACTAGCCCAAAAGCTAATTGGCATGTCGTCTCTGTCAATGAATTACAAGGATTAATGTAATACTCCACAAGAGCATGAATCTCTTCCTCCTCAACTTGGCCAACGGAACTTTTAATGTGCCGTGTAAGAGACTCGGGGAGTTCGACGGAATAACCGACTGTGGTAACGAAGCTAAGATCTATGGTAGCTGCCCGTTGTCCGTTCTTAACGAGATGCCTGGCGAAAGCATCCTGAAAAGTGTTCCCAGCGGCATAGTTAGCTTGGCCACGGTTACCAACAATCCCACTGGCGGATGCTATCATGATGAAGAAGTTTAGTGGTCTGGGAAGTGCTTCATATAAGTTGAGAGATCCGATAATTTTTGGTTCTGTTGCTCCCTGCCAATTCTCGTACGTCATCGTTTCGAAGATTACATCCTAAGGATAGTTTAGTCTCTAAAAAGGAAGCGTACTATAATTTAGTATGATACTCACTTCAAGAACCATGGAGCACTGTATGCACCCTTTAATTGGGGGGCAACTTTTCTCTGCACTCAGTGAAAACAGACATGAGCTGAGCCTTCTTAGTGATGTCGACTTTGAAGATCCGATACTCGCATCCATGTCACGCTATGAACGAGGTCATCTCTTCGACTTTCCTGTTAACTCTGCCTGAGCGGGATAAGAAAACAATGTGCTTTGCTCCTCGCAAAGCCATCCACTCAGCCAGGCTCCGGCCAACACCACTAGCCCACCAGCCAAGACGTATGTAGCATTTGCATCAAGAGTATATGGAGGTGCAATAATAGGAGCCACCGGGATGATGTCACTATCACAGGGCTGAAACACGATTTTGCCCATGTTCTGTCCGGATCGCAATTGCTTGAAACCGTGTTCAAGCTGTGCAAAACTTAGCACGGTCAGTGGCTGAGCTGAACGTATCTTTCCTTGGTTCCATGATGAAACGACCTCTTCTAAAATGTTCTTTATCACATCTGGTTTGTACTCCATAATGACAGTCAACTCGACTCCAGTTATGCTAGCACTTCGAAGAAGCGGCGACATGTCCAACTTGTCTGCAATTAGGTCTATGTTACCGATCTCGACAAACCGGCCAAACGGCGCAATGCACTCCCAAGATCGCCGAAGAGGTTCGCCAGGACGGGAATTCAAAATCATATCAACACCTTGATTCTTCGTTAACCTCATGACTCCTGTGGCGAAGCTCAGATCCCTGCTAGAGAAGATATGATCTTCAGCAATCCCGTATACTTTCATCAAAAGCTCCTTCTTGGCCTTGCTAGAGACTGTCGCGAATACCTCTGCCCCGAGTAACTTGGCATACTGGATCGCAGCTTGGCCAACACCTCCTGCTGCTGCATGTATGAGGATCCTCTCACCTGCCCTCAATACCCCTGCATGTTTTAAGGAGTAGATGACAGTACTGAAAGCCGTTGGTAGCGCAGCTGCAACACCCATCGACATCCCGCTTGGCATCACCGCAATAAACCTTCGATCAACTCGAACGTAATTTCCGAATGCAGTCTTACCTGGGTCGGCCATGAATAATACACGATCACCAGGTTGTAGATCCTCCACTTCTGCGCCAACCCGGGTCACTACTCCTGCTCCTTCTTGGCCAAAGCCGTGGTCGCTTATCCCCATCGCAGTATAGACGTCCCTGAAGCTCAGCCCTACCGCTGCTATTTGTATTTCAACCTCACACAACTCGATGGTAGGTGGAGATCTGTCTGCTTCCCAATGCATTTTATGCAGTGGCCCTGGTGTCGGGTTATGCAGGACGACCGAACGACGTATGTCTTTCCAAGTCACCATCTCCGGGCCGGCTTTGGTGAATTTCGAGTGAAGAAATTTATCGGCGTCAAAGCATTTCGCGAGGCGTAATACATATACAATGCCATCTTGGAAACAGTACTCTTCATTCTGGGGTGTGTGTAAAGAATGTAGAAGTTGGTTTGATGCAATAGAGGAAATTGCCTGAATAATTCGAGTTGCCGCTGTACCATCGTCCCTAATGGCTAAGGTCGCTAAGTCTATCTTGTCCATATCTCTCTCCCATCGAATAGTTCTGATCAGTCCCGTGCTGATGCTAAATCGAGGTTCTGTAATCGGGTCGCCTGTGATCCAGAGCAAACGTTGACAGCTGCTTAGAGCGTTCCGTAGTTTGAGAAAGTTGCTTTTCGATAGATGGCACAGGACAGGGTGCTTCACCTCGAGTAGAAAGATACATAATCTCCCTGACAAATCAATATCGTCCAGGTCATAAAGTCCACACTCTAGGATATCATTGGCCTCTGTGTCCTGTATCAGGGCTTGTTTCAATTCCACTCCGAGATATATTGGCTGCGCTTTTTCATTAGCGTAAATCAGAGCCATTTTTAAACAACCTGCACTTGTTGGACAACCGCTAGTAGCAGAAGCCGAGTCCACCATTGATAGCCGGTCAGCAGGACTTAGTTCGTTGGTGATGGGACTGCCATTTGACAGATTGCTTTTCAAGAAAGCCATGTTAGGCTTCCAATCAAGCGTGTAGGAGCTCTGTCTATTCTTGTTTGCTGCTGAATCCCAGCTCCTGAGCGCTGATACAGCACCCGTTACTGACATTAGCCCTTTATCAGTAGCATTATCCCAAATATGTATATTCATCTTGTAGTTCCCATTATGCTTGTGATATACTCGCGCATGGGAGCGCAATGGAGGTGTGTTGTTAGAATTGTTCTTGGCAGATACCCATGCCTCTTTGAGGGATGTTCCGACCATCAGACTATTCAATGCTAACTTGCCACGAAGGTCAAGTGCACCAGCAAACCCCAAGCATATACCCGGGTCAATTGTAGCAGGAATAGTATATGGCTGCATGTAGCCTTGAGGCATCAGAGCAGCAAAATCCGGAACCCGCACCGTGCCGAAAGCTTCTCCAAGGTTGTTGCCACTAACAGTTACATCCTGAAGTAGCCTGAACTGGGGTCCAAAAGTTAACCCCGCTGATTTGAGAGTTTCATACATCCTCAGGACGTCCATTGGCGTTTGGCATGTCTTGGCAGCCTGCTCAAGTAACAGATCCCAGGTCTGAGTTGCCTCACGGTCCTCTCGTTCATTGCCAACTGGCTCGTTTGGTGCTTCATACTCAACCATTATTTGACCAATGCAATTCTCACGCCACGTTTCAAGCTCTGAGTCATACGATGTGACTTGGAACTGTTGCCATACGTCAAAGCCCCCCGTGTTGGTTGTACGGCCCGGGGAGAGACATAGGTTAATCTCAATACCTTCTTTAGTGTCAGGGATAATCAGCATGGAATTGAAGGATACGTCTCTTAATCTAAACCCAGAAACCTTAGAGCCCGGATATGCGATCTGTTTTGAGGCTTCTATGGCCATTGTAACGTAGGCTGACCCGGGAAATACATACCGGGCTTCAATCTATAGAATAATGTTAGAATAGCAGACTGGAGATGACCATAAGCTAACCATGTGATCCTTGAGCCACGGATTCTCGTATATACTGATAAAATGCCGCCACCTAGGGCAGTAAGGATTCCAATCTATCACTGGTGCTCCCAATAAACTATGTCTTGAGAACCTGGAAAGTCGGACGTTTCGGCTCAGCCGGTCTTCATGAACCATTCGCTCGCGATGAGTGAATGGGTATGTAGGCGTGTTGACAATCATTTCTCGTTTACGAAGTGTGGGCGTATCAGGTTCATTAGCTCTTAGGATATCCACCGGAACGCCTTCGCAGCTCAGCTCACCAATCGTGGTTAGTATGGTTTCCGTTTCAATACCATGACGCATGAGGAGGCTCTTGTGGCGGACTTCAGCTCCCAGTATATCTCGGATCGCATGTTTTAAAGCTGGATGAGGCCCGACCTCTATCACTATCTTATTGAGGAAATTTCCCTTATCGATCATCTCATGGCGCACAGAATTCAGGGCATCCGTAAACCGGACGGGTGATATCAGATTCCGGACCCAGTAAGATTCATCAAGATGTGCTGGACTGATGATCGCACCAGTAACTGACGAGAACATCTGAATATCGCTGGAAACTCCACGGCTTGTGTTTATTGGAGGATTGCCAACTAAACGCAGATATTCGTTGGCGACTTCTTGCATTAGTCCAGAGTGGTAGGCGTGCTTAACAGGCAGCTTCCGAGCAAAAACACCTACGCTATCTAGGAGCTGCTTCATCTCATCAATCAGCTTCTGATCTCCGGAAAGCGTATTGTTCTTCGGGCTATTGTAGCAAGAAATGACCAGTTCACCTGAAGACTGTTTCTGGACTTGACGAATATAGGGAGTTAAGTGCTCTTCTTCAAGGCCAGCAACAAGCATCGAGCCGCTGCGTGTGGTTCTGGAAGAAACATAGCCGCGATAGTATGCTATCTGCCATGCTGCTTCGCGGGTGATATATCCAGCGCAGTAAGCTGCCGATATTTCTCCAGAGCTGTGCCCAACTACAATCCTCGGAAAGATATTCCAGCTAGCAAGGAGGTCGACAAGCGCGATCTGTATAGCAACACAAGCGGGCTGTGATATAGCGGAGTTGTCAATCAATGTATTGTCCCCGTGCACAAGTTCCTCTAACAGAATCCATGGGCTTCCTAGCTTCTTCATGTAGTTTGTAGCGTCACTGAGTGATTCTTTAAAGACAGGGTATACAAGAAGCTGCACTCCCATTCTTGCATACTGTACCCCTTGTCCGTTGAAAGCGAACACAATCTTAGGGGCCTTCAAAGGAGAAGGGCTATCTGGTGGACGTGTGACATCTGAAAGCCTATAAATCAGTTCGGATAAGGAACCAGCGACGATGAAATTATTCCAACGAAATTTTGAGCGTCTTTCGGACAATGTATATGCAAGGTCTCGCAGAAATGTAGCAATTTCCATGGTGGTAGATTGGGAACGTGACTTCAAATGAGATAGATATTCTGACATGAGTCGTTTCAAGGCATCCCGATCGAATGCGGAGAAGATAAACAAATTCTTCCCTAAAGAAAGGCAATTATCTCGATCTGGGCAATCTCGATGTAACCCGGGACGACTTTCCTTGGTGACCCCATTGTGGCTCACTTTATGACTAGCTGAGGCTTTACTAAACTGAGTTTGAGAACATTGCTCTAATTTAGCAACCAAATGATCGATTTCATTTTCCGTGGGTATACTCGTGCGGGTGTTATGGGCGGCATAAACTCCTTTGGCCTTCAGGAAATGGTGTGCATCACTCAGAATGCAGTGAGCATTTGTGCCTCCAAAACCGAAGGAGTTCACCGATATCTGACGGGCACCTGCTGTAGGCCAAGGCACGCACTTTGCTGGGAATGCCAGGTTCAGTCCGTTTTCCTGGATCTTAGGGTTGATCTTCTCAAAATTGACATTCGGTGGAATAACTCCCGATTCAAGGACTAGAATAGACTTAATTATTCCTGCGATGCCAGCAACCGACTCAAGATGGCCAATTCCCGATTTGAGAGAACCAATATACAGAGGTAGACTCCTTTTGACTGAATTGAAAGCTCCTGCAATTGCGCTCGATTCCGTTACATCCCCGACGACTGTCCCTGTACCATGAGCCTCGACGAACCTCGTATCATTTGGGTCCAGTCCTGCTATATGGTATGCCTCCCGGATTAACATTTCTTGGGCTACTTCACTAGGAAGAGAAATTCCAGGAGTGTGTCCGTCTTGATTAGTTGCTGTTCCACGTATAATAGCACGTATGGAGTCACAGTCTCTAATGGCAGCTGATAAGGTCTTTATGATGATAGTGCCAACACCTTCGGCTCTAGCATATCCTTCGGCTCTATGATCGAATGAAAAACACCTTCCTTTCGAACCCAGGAAGCCATCGCGATTTAGAGTGGTAAACTCTTGAGGGCCGCCGAGATAAGTGACACCACTAGCTATTGCCTGAGCATCAAAGCCATGAAAATTTAGTAAAAGATCTACAACAAGTTGTGATGAAGATGTACCATTTCACACTCGCCTAGCTTCAAACTTTGAGCCGCCAGATGAACAGCCACGAGACCTCCAGAGCAAGCAATATCGACATATACGCTAGGTCCTTTGAGATTGAAAGACCAGCTCACTCGATTGGCAACACAGCTGTCACCGGTGCCAGTCGCCTGACTAATACTAGTGGTTCCAGGATCAATGTTGGAAGAGATCAGATGGTCGTGCGATGACCCTGCCACGAACACTGCTGTCTTTGAAGAAGCTGCTTGGTTGAGGCGGATTCCAGCGTTCTCAAGTGCATGGTAAACATTCTCTAGCAACAGTCGCTGCCGAGGATCCATGCTCAGTAGCTCAGCCCTGGTGATATTGAAAAATGGGGCATCAAAGTAAGCGGGATCTTCGGACAAAAAATGAGCTTCCTTCGTGTGAAACTGGAATAACAGTAACGTCTGTCAGTAATATTCAACCGAAAGCTTCAGCAGGGAGAGCTGGACAGACAGTGCCAGGATGGTTCACATCAGGATGGTAATATCCATCAGCATTGATGCGATCTTTAGGGAAAGGAGTAGCAGATTGACGACCTCTCAGTAAGAGTTTCCAGAAACCTTCCGTATCAGAAGCTTCTTGGGGAAAGCGGTTGGCTACCCCGATAATTGCTAACGGCGTGCTATCAGACATGGCGTTGACGTGTTGGCTTTATCCCGAAGGCACGGAATCAAGTGCAAAAAAATGATACAGGAATCGAAGGCATACAAAAAAAGTGTCCACTTTCCTTTCAAGTAGGGGCTTCCCTGAAATTCATTGCAAGGGCGTACTGTCTCTCTAAGGGGTATGCACAATTCAAATATATGTGATGATCTTGAGGGTGTTGACCGATGGCTCATTGTGAAACTGATAGCTTAGGATTGAAACCAATCTATATTTATGGTTCCTCAACAATTTCCTGGAATGAAGGACTTCGTTCTTGCTAGAACCGTGACAATCCGTGGAATCTCCTCTAGAAAAGGAAACATTAATCCCATCACATATACACACAAGGACAAAGATATTGCAAAATAGGAATAGCACTCATGTCCCATTCAGGGGAAGGAGGATTGCTAAGATCATTTCTCTTGTAGGTAGTAGTCACATTACGGCTGCTTTTGTAAGGACAGCACGTGAGTGCTCTGTGTGTGCTCCTGTGCACTCGTTCTCTAGGACAGTGACTGTATTTGAATTCAATTGGATAAGGGACGAGAGATGGAAACGTTCGTTCTGGTCTCAGCTGGGAAGTCAATATCTATCTCTATGTATGCTACTATAAGCACTTTATAG